ACACAGGCACGCTGCAGAAAGTTACTCCAAAGTTGTTGCTTTTTTTTTTTTTTTTTTTTTTTTTACTTCTTTTTGAAATAACTGATAAAGCAGAATAGGAAACAGGAAGCCTTTGCATGTCGTCATTGACCACTGGAGCTGACCGCTCTGTTGCTGCTGCTTTACAACACATGCAGAACTTTCGAGTACACGATTAAAGCATTCAGAGAGAGGGAAACAACCTAAAGAGAGGGCATCGCCAAAATGTTCACACTTTACGCAATTCTATTTAACAGCAGCACATGACTCCTGTTGGACGAGTGTCAACCTCTATTGTTCACTACTGCTGGTAATCGTCCTGTGTGTGCTGAAGGAGAGACACTACAGGTTTACCCCGTGAACCTTCCCCGGCTGTTTACTTACATTTAGACAATTGCTTTTTGTATTACACGTTTTCTGAAATGGTGTGTTTATACATGCAAATGAGAAATAATCTCATTAAATATGCATGCTGCTGAATACATTTCCAGAGCAGAAATCTGCACATCGGATGAAACCAGGTTCAAATTTCTTGTTTCATTTTCTCGACATCTTAGAGTCGAAGGTTTTTATAGAGGGGAATTTGGACGTCTCTTTGTGTCGCATCAATCAGAAAATAATGTCAACTGCCATTAAAAAACAAAACAATTTTAGCCATATTTTTAGGAATAAAATGTTAAAGTAAAGTTTGATGTATGTAAGAGCTGCTGCAGTGGAGAGTCTGAGAAAATAGATATTTAGAGAAAAAATGATATGTTTTGTAAAATGAAGACATTACAGGCGAATATGGTAAAAATGTCACTAACAGATATCACTTTGAAACTTTCCCAGTTGATTATTTACATTAAGAGAATTTATTTGTAATACAAGTTTTCTGAAAAGTTATGTTTAAATGTATAAATGAGGCATTATTATATGACATACAAACATACAAAGCAGTAAAATAAACACCTGAATCTGTATTTTGGATGTTTTATTTCCACTAGTCTGGAAGAAGACGTGTCATGGAAGCAAAATAGCCCAAAATCTCTAAATTGACCAGTGCATGGAAAAAGATGTCTTTGCCTGTCGTGGCTCGCCTTAACCCCGTCAAGTGGGATGAAAGCAATCTTTCAACTCTGCAGTGTGTCAGTGCACAGACACACAGCCGCTTTGTTGCAAAACACATGATTTCATGTCAGAGTCGAACTTGCCAGTTTGCCTGTTAATTAAAAAAGAGAAGAAAAGCAAGAGGCAAGCTTCCAAGTAAAGTGCACTCATCATTACCTGCTCTGAGAAATCTTTTGATGTGGCATCAGTGAATTCTTCACCGCGTCTATTTATTATTACACATCGTGTTCTTTAACTGACGTTATAAATTATGCATGTCACTTGTCTTCTGCACAAATAGATGATGCATAAATACATACAATAAGACAGAGGAACACATCTTTTCTTAAACAGACGTACAGCCTTTCCATAGATTTCTTTTAGCCGTGTAGACCTGCAGTGGGGAAAGGTGTTTGACAAAGTGAGACTTTGTTGTGGACAAAAGGAGAAGAAAAATGCTTTTGGGATGCACGGAGTTACAAAAAAAGAAAAAAGAAAAAAGTAAGTGAAACTTAACAATACAAGAAGAAAATTCTTTTAAAGAAAGGGAACTAAAAAAGACCTCTGTAGCTAACAGCATTATCTGTTTGGTGTTACAGCGCGGTTGCATCATGCCTCTCAGAACAAAACTCCACACTCACATCTTTGCTGACAATGAACACTGAAGTTGGCAGAAATTTGCTGTGAAACGAGACAAAAGTGTGCAGTTTATGAAGAAGAAAAAAGAAGAAAAAAGAGTGAGGCAACCTCCGGGCCTCGGGGCTTTTGTCAGTGGGCATTTTCTATTCAATGACCCATCGTGCGCCGAGTGTAGGCAATGATACGGCTTTAGAGATGTCTTCACACTCTATCAGGCTCCTTTTTTAAATGTGCAGCTGGTGCTTGGATCACTGTCACAACCTGCTTTGGCTGGGATTGTCCCTGATCGGCGACCCTGTATCATCATGACCCGCTGGTTAACCATGCAGCCTGTTCATAATGGGGAAATGTGCCGATCACTTTAGACGGACCGATATCGATCAGCTGCCCTGCGCTCTTCCCCTGTCCTCTCCGTAAGTGGGTCATTTATTTAGATTTTTTTTTGAGCTACTAATCGGTTGAGTAAAAGTTTGCCAAGGATTTGCGGTAATTATCTCATCCTTCTATAGCCGGGCACAGCATGGGGCCTCGGTTAAATTACACATCTCTCTCCCAACTCCTGGATGCTTTACGGCTGTGCATTATGCATAACCGCGCCAGAGCCGCCTTAAACATCCCCCAAGTGGATTGGAATAAAGTTGACGCTGCTCTTTGTTTCGAGCTCAACGCAGTCTTTATTTGGCAGTGCTGAATCGGAGGGTTGCTGTGAAAGCGCGCGTCTTAATTATTTTGGAGACTTTTTTTTTTTTTTTTTCCCTTTCTCTCCTCTCCTCCCAATGGTTTGTAAACACCTGGAGTGTTTTTTTTTTGTTTTTTTTGTGGGATGCCGGATCCAGTTGTGCGGATGCTCGGGCGATCCGCGGGGAGAAAATGTGGGTTACATTACAGAGGAGTGTGGTGTCACATGAAGGGTTAAATAAAAAGTGAAACAAGGGCTGTGTTACACAGTGTGGTGTGTGATGGTGACATGCTGCTCAAATGTCCCTGATCAAACTTCATATCACTAATATAATGTAATGACAAGTATATATTTTAGATTATTTTTTAAAATCTCTCTCAAAAACAGGAACATCTCCGGATTGATTAGGAGGGAAATAATTGAACACAAATATTTTCAGTTATAACTTCTGCATTCTTGTTCATCAAAACAAAACTATGCGTTCAAGAGAGACATAATCCTCAAAGACCTGATCCAATAAATAACGATCAATATGTGTGGAGGTGTTAAAGGTCCCATTGTGGATGTTTACCAAAAAATAAAGAAAATCGAATACAGATGACAAGGCTGATCTTAACATGACATGAATATCAACCTAATCATTACAATATTTCATTGATATAGTGCCATTGGAGCATTTAAATCCAACCAGAGTTCCTGTGTGTTATTTTTGCAACATTACAACAAAGATAAATGGAGAGTTAGAAGAGTGTGTACTTCCGCTGTTGTGCTGTACACCAATATATCTTCTAATGACTTGTGTAAACTTTGTCTTTGTCGTGTGCCACCAGCTCAGCAAATGCTCCTTCTGTGCCAAGGGGTGAGCGGGATGAGAAAAGACGGGGAGTCCGTGGTCTGGAATCACCACAAGCAAAGTTTCCAAGGTGAGTCACCAATAGTGAACCCTTGCCCACAAACTCCTGAAATGAATGCAGCTATTCAGATGCTGTCAAGCAGTGCACGTCCCCCTAACCAGGCATCACAAACCGTCTATGAAAAAGATACGCATATTCACAGCAGTTCTCATTTACACGCAGGGAAGAAAGAAAACTACACGGTTCCACTTCTCTTCTGTGCCAAAAAAAAAGTCTGGCTGGTGAGACTGTTCTAACTAAAAGAGCATGAAGTAACACTAGTAAGCTGAAAGAATACTGTTTATTCTCAACCAACTCTGAGAAATGATGCAACAGGGAGTACACATGCCTTAAATGAAATGGTAAGGAGGGAGTCAAAAATTCACAGCAATGCATTCAATTATTTTTCCAGGAAACTGCCCCTTTGTATTTCAATGAGCAATGTATTTTGTTGTTAAGTGTGCACAGCATCTGACATGGACAATTACACAGGCACCCTCATCTTCCACTATCAAAAGCAAAGTCCACATAACAAGAGGCTGACATCTGTCTAAACTGTGCCAAGTGGGTTACAAAGGCACCTGATAATATAGCACCAAGACCATCCATCATGGCATTTTAAACATTAATAACCTGAAATCAAACCCACATGCCTGATTCTAAATTATAACCAGGGCTAGACTGCAGGCTACACATCCTTGGCTCATGTCGTGTTTTTAGATTGGTGATGCGCTCGCTTTCATGCAACAAGTTTCCCATAATCATGAAGTTAGTATATCAGACAGCAGATCGCACCTACAATTAGTCAAAATCTTAGTGTCATCTACTGTACGAAAAAACACCGTCGCTTTAACACAACAGCGCTCATAAAGCTCATGTATTAAACCGTTATGTGCGCAGATGAGACGATCAAACTGGACCTGACAAGTACCGATCCCACCACGCACTACATCAACCGAAACACCACAACCGCTTCACAATCACATCCACACACGCTCAGATGCCTGACTATAATAATACATCTATAAGGCTTTCCTTTTGCAACAAACCCCCAATGGTGATTCGCAGTATTCTCCATCTATGAAGTCAGCATACCTGCAGGAAATCTGGCTACCAAAAAAAAAAAAAAGGAACAGCTCGAGCTGTCACAGCGACCTGTCCGCGTGTGCCTAATTAAGATGTCGGTCTGTGTGCTGTAGGCTACATGTAGGGTCGGTGTGTTCAATGCGACGAAACGGCAACGAGACGACACATTGCTTAAATCACGGAATATAAATTAGTTCTCAGTATTTCGGGGGCTGGGTTTAAGGAACTCGTGACGTCGCAGGCTCTACGTCCTGTGACTGTGGATTCAACCAAAAGCAGCGGGGGTGTTGGATCACTATTAAACAATTTCCTGCAATATTTTTACAAAATAATTCACATTTGTGTGCATTTAAACGCTGGATTTAAGCAGTGTTTTCTGTATAAACCGCTGTGCGCAAAACGCGTTAGGATAATACCGTTGGAAAAGAGTCGTTTTCACGGCGAGGGAAAAAAACGTCACACCCCTGCCACGGGAAAGTGGTACGGTCTCGGGCTCAAATTCCGAGAATTGAGCTCGTCTGATTCTTAGAACTGGGGTTCTTAGAAGTGGTGATGCAAGAAGTTTCTAGGAAAGCGCTACCAGGTGATTTTTTAAATTCCTTTTTTGCCTCTAATTTGGCGCGAAGTTGTTATCTACTGTGTCTGCTGATGTTTTAGACAGAGCTATTTGTCCGTTTGTGCTGTTTGAGTGTTTGTGTGTGTGACTGATGTCTACTGGCAGTTTAAACAGTGCAGAGTCGAAACTCTGAAGTGGCTCCCGCAGTGACAGCCAGCGCGCGGCTCTCTTGACGGATCATCTGCCTCGCGCTGCGCTGCCGCGTTTGAACCAGCGGGACGGACAGCAGCCTGCCTCCGCGCGCTGTAGCTTCTCCATGCCGCACTGACCAGAGTCATGTTGTGAAGCTGTAATAACGCTCGCTTTACGAACGTTACACCGAGGGGGGGGAATGATGATTTTGAGCGGTGTAAAGGCTGCCCAGAGCCCGCGTACACGGCTCTCGTGCGGACAGAGGTGTCGGTGTGAGGGCAGCACTCTGCTTGTAAACGCGCTCTGATTATAATGCTACTTTGTACGTTCAAGTGTCAACACAGCCGTGTGGAGGCGGCGGCTCGCGCGCGCTGTCAGACAAACTTTGCTGGCAGCATGGCAGCCTCGGGTTCAGGATGTATTTGTTACTTCGCGGTCGCTCCGACGCTAATTTGCTCCAATGGAGCGCAAAAAGGGCTGCGGCGAACAAGCCCCTCTGTTACCATACATTTGTGCCGGAAACATCAGCGTCAATGTGTTAGTGTGTGTGTTTTTTTCCACGGTAGAGGCTTCAAGACACCTCGTCGCACCAAGTTGCGTTTCCACCGTGACACCGCACTGCGTGATAAGCTCGACCTCCTGACTACACCAAGTTGAGCTGTTTGTTCAGAGATGCGCTCAGAGTTGGCTTCATGCAAAGTGGTATTTCTGTCACGGACTCGAGAGTTTCGGTTAAACAGTGTTCACGCGCAGGAACAGGTCCAATCAGAGCGTGTTGAGGTCCATGAAATGTAGTAAAATCAGAGATGGAATGAAGACCCGCTATTCGGGCTGACAGAAATACGCGTGCTGTCATTTTGATGAGCAAAACTGTGATGGGGCAGATTGAAGTTAAAGCTAAACTTAATCACTTAACAATTCATCTGAAACCGCAATTGTTTCTGAAACAATAACTGCTTGTTTGACCCCAACTTGGTGATAAATCACCACCTTTTTTTGATCAGAGTATATCGGTATATTTAGGCTGTTCTCTGCTTCTATTTTCGGACGTGTCCAGTTACAGACTTCACATCCACTTGAAAATAGCGTCATAAATCCTCCCGCGCGTGTTATAAAGTCAATTCCGCCCAGAGTTAGTTAAATAATAGTTTTCACCCGCTTCAAAGTAATTGACCTAGAAAGGCACTACAGCACAAACAGAATGAGGGAGCAGTGAGCGCTGCTGGGCTTCACAACAACACGCTGTCACAGGTCTGATCAACAGGGAAACATTGCTCATAGGCTCCAACCAGCAGTTTATAGTAGACGTTCAATCGAGGACATCCTGCGGTTTAAATTAACATTCATAGTTTGGGCGTTATTTGTGTGGCTAAAAAGTTTTGAGTAATAAGTGAGCTGCTTGTTGAAACTGTTTTCCTGCTTTTATCGGCTGGTTCACAGTGAGCCGAGTTAAACCCGACCCCGCCGCGCTGAAGCCAAAGAGACTCAACTTTTCTCCTGTTAGACTGAATTCAGAGAAATCAGTGGACAGAGCGAGTTGATGCTCCTTCTGATGCGCGATCAATAAAACCGCCAAAATAATGGGTTTTAAAAACGTACACAGGTCATCTAATTGCGTTTTTTTTAAATGAATTAAATTCTCTATTTCCGAGAAATTATAAAAAAAATACCGTTATTACAAGATTATATCATGCATCCTTTAGTCTGCGCCAGTCTGTTTAGAATACGATAGAAATGTCGTTCATCTTCATTTGTTGTATTGACTTGACAACCGGTGGTCTAGAAGGAGAGACAGTGAGGGGGAGACAAATGATTCCAAAAGGTTGAAATTTAAATGTCTAGACGGTGTTTATTTAATAAATGGCGCCGCCTTCTGGAGGACCGGCGGTATCTGTTTGTAAGTCTGCCACACTGATGAAGACATTGTGAGGTTCAATCATAAATTCAGCCAAATGGATTCACTTAAAGATCACCTGTACCTCCGCAGTGGTACACAGGGGTGGATTGTGGCGTTGACTCGCCAGGGCACTTTTTTTTTTTTTTGTGAAATAATATTTATTTGTTATTTTGCAGAATTTGACAAAATGGCTTGCGCAGCAGACAGCTGCATACAGTTCACACGCCATGCAAGTGATGTCCTGCTCAACCTGAACCGGCTGCGTAGCAGAGATATTCTCACCGACGTCACCATCTTGGTTAACAGGCAGCAGTTTCGTGCACACAAGACGGTTCTCATGGCTTGCAGGTGCGTGTTATTCCGTTTAACGTGAGCCAATTTGTCCTCCCGCAGTTTAGAGATGAAGTGACTGATCTTTGTTTCTTTACTTTTACGTGGCTGCAGTGGGCTGTTTTACAGCATCTTCACCGACTCCCACAAGTGCAACCTAAACGCCATCAGTCTGGACCCAAAGGTGGACCCAGAGGGCTTCGCCATCCTGCTGGAGTTCATGTACACCTCCCGCCTCACGCTAAAGGAGAGTCTGATCATGGCCATCATGAACACGGCCATCTACCTGCAGATGGACCATGTCGTGGACACCTGCCACAGATTCATCAAGTCCAGGTAGGCAAAATAAGCTTCCGTTGCACCAGTCAAATTCACCGTTATCAGCATTTGACGTGTTTTTTTTCACCCTTCTCATTCTTTCCACAGTGATCCGTCACTTAAGCTGCCCAGAGACGAGTTCTTGGTCAGTCCCTTGGTCTTACCTCAGGATGTCCATGCTTACCGGCCCCACGATGTTGTCGACAGTTTGCACAGCCGCGTGGCTCCGTTCAGGGATGGGAGGCCCTACGGCTCAAACATGTTCAACGGGGTCGGCACCCCCAGCAACTACCATCTCTACGGGCAGTTTCCCATGCCAGGATTCCCTTTCCCTCTCTGCAAGCTGGCCGACGCCAAAAACGCTTTTGCCGACCTCTCTAAGAGCGGCATCCACCACAAGCACTGTTCTCCGCATGAGAGCGCCAACATCATCCGGGCGGAATACACCAGGGCGGTTGGCGCCGGCTCCTCCGGCACCATTCACTCCACCACCTACGCTTCCAGGGAGCTAGGGAGGCACGACGAGATGCGGAGAGAGAGCCACGAGGGGGTCGGCCAGTCCATCGCTCTTGGCACAAGGAAGCGCGCGTTTCCCGCGTTGACTCTGGAGCACCAGAGAGACTCGGGAAAGGATCACGCCCCCCAGGCGGAGGAGGACCTGATCCATCACCACTACCCGCTGGGGATCTCCTCCGCTGGACGCAAGGGCCTCATGAGCAGCCCGCAGAGCCCCCTCAAATCAGACTGCCAACCCAACTCCCCGACGGAGTCGAGCAGCAGCAAGAATGCCGGCCTCTCCCAAGCCGGCAGTGTGCAGGCTCCGCAAGGCACGCAGGAGCCCAAGTCCCGCAACTGGAAGAAGTACAAGTTCATCGTGCTGAATCAGAGCGCGAAGGAAGAGGAGGCGGGGCTGCGGGACCCCGGGCTCCGTTCACCTCAGCACCTTGGCCTGCAGCCCTACCTCCAACCCAGCGACTCGGAGAACCTCGACCCGCAAGCCACAAGCAAGAGCAGCGATCACAGCGAGGACCTACCCGTTCCCCAGGCTAGTCGTCTCAACAACATCATCAACGGGTGAGTCTCCCCCCCCAGTACATAACGGCATATTTTTGGCTTCAGTGCAACTAAAGTAAAAATAAAGATTTTAGGAGGAAGGAAGGAAGTTTTTTTTATTTTTTTTATTCTTTTGTTTTTTATAATCCAGGATAATTTTAGGAATTTAATTTGGAATTACATGTGATTATAAATATTTGTTTACGTTTGACTTGAAGTATGCGTTGTGTTATTTTGGTTCCAGTGCACTGGAGGGTTCACTGAGGAACGGTGACTGCCCCCCTCCACACTACCTGAGCCGGCTGAACTGCTCGTCCTGCGGCACGCCGTCCCCGCAGCACTCCGAGGTCTGTCCCAAGACCCCCCGGTCCCGCCTAGCGGAGGACATGGCGGAGCTGCACTCGGAATACTCGGACTCCAGTTGCGGTGAGTTTGGTCGGCGGATATTAAAAGACAAATTGATTCTGCGTTACTCTGGACTAGAGGTTCACTGTTTTTTCCTCTCTCCCGGACAGAAAACGGTACATTCTTCTGCAGTGAATGTGACTCCAAGTTTGCCGAGGACGAGGCGCTGAAGCAGCACATGCTCCAAGTGCACAGCGACAAGCCATACAAGTGCGACCGCTGCCAGGCTGCTTTCCGCTACAAGGGCAACCTCGCCAGCCACAAGACCGTCCACACGGGTACATGGAAGAGTCATCTACCGTCCTGTCCAGTCTCCGCTCCTTTCGCTGCTGGATTTTAACACTTTTCTTTTTCTCCAATTTGCTTTACAGGAGAGAAGCCGTATCGCTGTAACATCTGTGGTGCTCAGTTTAACAGACCAGCTAACCTCAAGACTCACACTCGCATCCACTCAGGAGAGAAGCCATACAAATGTGAGACGTGTGGAGCTCGTTTTGTACAGGTAATAATACCCCTCCCCGACAACTCATGGTTTAAAAACGTTCTATTGCATGGGCCAATTGCGCGAATACTCCTCTCTGAACTGTAACTATTGGTGTGTGTGTGCGTAGTCATTTTCAGCTTTACAGAACTACCCATAATTACAAAGAACATCCTTAAGGGGGTTTTGGCTTTTATACAATGGATACCAATCTGCTGTCTGAGGTGTCTCGTCAGTGTGTCTGCGTAAAAAGAACTCCTCGCCTGATGAGTTTGCATCGGTGTGTTTTGTTTCGACACTCAGGTTGCTCATCTGCGCGCCCACGTGTTGATCCACACGGGTGAGAAGCCATATCCGTGCGAGATCTGCGGAACGCGCTTCCGTCACCTGCAGACGTTGAAGAGCCACCTGCGCATCCACACCGGAGAGAAGCCCTACCATGTAGGTTGACCCGCTGTTTTCCACTTCACGCAAAAAAACGAAATCACACAATGGCAACATTTTAAATAACGCCGCGCCGCTTTCCTTTTCAGTGTGAGAAATGCAACTTGCACTTCCGCCACAAGAGTCAGCTGCGGCTGCATCTCCGGCAGAAGCACGGCGCCATCACCAACACCAAGGTCCAGTACCGCATGACGACGGCGGACATGCCCACCGACTTGACGAAGGTGTGCTGAGCTGGAGGGAGGGGACTGTTTCAACGGGCGGCAATCTTGACCTTGGCATTTAAAAGACCCAAACTTGTACAATCATCCAAAATTGTAGTGCCACACTGTGTTCATTAGACAAATAAATTGGCTGTGTATGCCATTCTAAACGGGTTTCCACTACATGTGAACGTAGAGCCACTTGGGGCGTCTTAGTCACTTTATTGTTTCTATATAGATATAAATATATATATATATATATATATATATATATATGTGTGTATGTTGGGAGTGTTTCTAAGCTTTGAAGGTACCTAAATAAAGCTTTATTTTGTTGAGGAAGGAATGTAAACAGTTTTTTTGAAAATACAGTATTTTGTATCAGAGAACTTACTTTTCTGAAAGTATTGAAAATTTTGATCGACGGGTGGTACATATATTTTGAGATTCCCAGATTTGCGGCTGCACAGAGTTGTCTACACGTTTTTTTACGTAGATGTACGTACATGTTGCACCATGTCAAGTTGCCATATTCATGTGAAGAGGTGGGGGAGAAAAAAAACACATTGTAATTGGATTTAGTTGAAAACATATCAGATGACTGCTGCTGTCTGATGAGGTTATGCATGAGGTACTCTTACCGTTGTCGGCGCACATGAAGTGGGCAAACGGCATAAATATTGTGATATATTGTGTAATTATATCTGTGGGATTGCTCTCTGCTGGCGGAGCCAATCAAGTGTTGAAATGCATTTCGAGGCTTTATGACCAAGAAAATATTTTGCTTTGTGTGTATTTGTATAGATGTGACTTCTGTTTTTGTTTATTTTCCATAAGTGAAGGTTTACAGTTTTGCTCATTGTTCTAGATCCTACAGTAAAGTCGTGTTTTTTGTTTTGTTTGTACATGCACTGTGTATTCAATGTGCCTTTCTCTATGCTGTCTGAATCCTTCCCCCATTCAGCCCAGCTCTATTTAAAAAGGTACAACTCATGGACACCACTTGTCCTAATACCCCTCTCACCCCCCCCTCCCCCATGTGTGTGTATGTGTATATGTATATATTTTTAAATGCTTGTCACCGACCTGAAAACATGCAAAAATCATTGTAAATCTTCAGGACTTGTTTTTTGGATTGGGCTTTTTAAAAAAAAGAAAAGAAAAAAAAAACTGCATTAAAGTTATTGTACAATGTTTTAGATGTATGAATGTAAAATAAAGGTATTGGATTTCTATGTATTAACACCAGACTGCGTTTGTCACAATAAAATGGTAAACGACGCCGGATATACGGGCGCACAGTTTTAACATGTTTCCAGAAATATTGCTAGAAGGCTAAAATTAAAACCAGAGGACATAACTTGCATACATAACTCTGAAATAAACAGTTGAACTGCAGGCACGTTTAACCGTTACAGGTCACAGGATCATCATTTGAGGCTTCATCTTATTGTAGCCACAAAAGTATTTGGTTGCAAAAGCGATGTTCTGCCGAACCAGATCGATTCCTCCTGATGTTGACCGAAGCTGAATCCCAGCGAAGGACTGCATCACGCCACCTTTAAAAAAATCTGTCACATACTCATGTCCGCTTCTAAAACGTGCTGCAAATACGGCAGCGACGGGGAGGAAGAAAAGACACCCAGTTACCCCTCTACTTTACGGTTAACACCAAGGCTTTTTACACTTTCTGCTCTTATGAACTGTACCGACAATCCTCAAAACCCCGGAAAAAAAAAGGGTCACAGCCTACTGACAATCTAGCCACCACACCAATCATTAGTAAGATAAACATTAAAGCACACAGACGCAACTTTGACTGAATAAAAGCCACACAGTTGATGTAAAACAGTGAGAGGCTCATGAAGCCAGAGAACTGAGTCAGTTACACATAAATATGCTTCTAAAGTTTGCTGACACTATCCACTGGTCAGACCAGACCAAGTGAGGCCGTCTATTGAACTGAGCAGGAATGTTGCCGATGATTTTGACTTTTGGTTTGTACGCTGAGGAACATTATTTCTTCTTTCAAAAGTTAAAACGTCTCGCTGTAAGTGATCCAGGTGGGAAACTGTAATTTCTCCAACATAGAGCAGAAAGGTGGGATGAAGTACAACAGTTGAGAAGACGACACAATAGTTGTGCTTATAGCGATTTGCAGGATTGAACCAGTGGTTGTATTAATGGACCAGAGGACGCTTTATGACACGCCTTCACGCTCAGTTTTTCGGATTTGGATAATTACAGCACATTGAGGCCGTGGGATTTTGATTTCCCATAAAAACAGTTTATAAAATAACTTCCTTCCGTGATCACAGTTTGTGGCAATGAAGCTTTTTTTTTACAGTTTCTCAAATAATTTAAAAACTAAAAAACATCCCTATAAATAACATGATCAACATGTAAATAAAATAGCGTTTTTATTTTGAAGTGGCATAAAAAAAAAAAAAAATTTTTTTTTTTTTTTTTAAAGGTAAGCAACAGCGCTTGTTTTACGCAACAGAAACACTACAACAGACAAACACTACAACCGGGCTCAAAAAATGTAATTTAGTTCTATTTCTTTCATACTAAATAAAAAGGGCAGTCTCAAATGAAGCCTTCCAGACGGCTTTCCCATAATTAAGGAATGCAATGGAGTTCCCTGTGAAAGCACAGGAACATGACCAACACCGCTTAAATCACAAGAGCTGCACAAACCGTATCATCCTGAATGTAACTAAAAACTATATCATAATTCACGGTCACAAAAATCCCCCCCCCCCCCCCGTCCTTCAGGTCAATCACTGCTTCTGCTGCATCGCTTCTTTTCGCGCAGCGTCCTGCAGGAGCTGAGTGTCCACCTCATCCGCGGGCAGCTGAACGTACCGGACCACCGATCCACGGATGAAACAGTTTTTCACGGACAGCTGGGGAAAATTGAAATAAGACAATGTGGAGTTTCAAGAGAAATCATCATTCAGAGCGGCAGAGGACACAGATGCAGAATCTGTCCGAATTATATTCTATTAGATGTTGCATAGCGATGTGTTTTCAATCATCTCCCCCCCCCTGGTTCTGGTGTTAAAAATGTCCGCTTAATAATAAAAATATAAACTGCGTTAACGTGCGATAAAATAATTGTCGGCGTTAATTAATTAATGCGTTAACTTGCCCAGCACTAATTAAAACAAGTGCTGACACTTGTTGTTGCCACAAACTCAGCTTGCAACATATATTGTAATATATACATTTCTTTTGCATGGATTACATATTCCATACATAAAAGGAGCTACATGCAAGTCTGAAAACTTCCACTGGATCCTCGCATGCCCTTTTTTGAGGACTCGCATCACACACATACACGTGTGAGTGTGTACGTACATGTATTTGGGATTTAAGAAAATCCTTTGTCCGTAGCAGTGTTTTACAGCTGAGGGCTCTGAGACCCCAAACAGAGGATTCTCTTCAGACTTCTGAAACGTCCTCTCTTTAAAATCGTGTTTAAAAGAAATTCTCACAAATGTCACGAAGCCTCAAGGCAATTAAACAATGTTACGTTTGTTTTTTTGGCGAGCTGTTAAACGGGGCCGGGGTATTCTAGGTCTGAAACAGAACATTCAGGGTTTATATAGACGTGTCCTAAAAGAAGAAGTGACACTGGATGATGAGGTGCCAGACAACCAAGACTCACCATGTGTGGATATTTCTCTGGATCAGTGACACTGATGTCTGTGAGCTTAATGTTCAGGTACTGAAAAAAACACATGAAAAGATCAGAAGTCATTAGTGGGCAGTCAGATAGTAAATGTAACAGCTGAAAGGCTTTGATTCAAAGTGAGGGAAATTAATCGTGATTTCTAACCTGGTCAACAGAATGAAGCGTTCCGCAGATGCTGAAGAGAGAGAAGTCAGTATTAAAATGACTGCAGGCATCTTTACATCAGACATGTATGTTAACAAAGTGGAGGTGAACGAATCACTGGTCTCAACATGCAGGTGGTGGACAAAATAACAATACCACCTTGTACTATAATATATTACAATGCATAACAACTCCACTGCATTTAACTGAATGATGTTTCGATTATTTTGTACTCTCCTCACACAACATTAATCCAAAGCGTGCATTTTTGAGCGAACCATTCTTGTGACTGTAGCTAACGTGAAATAATGGCGGCTAAATCAAATAGTGTTAAAAAGTTACCCGACAAATACTAACCTCAAGTCGTTTTTGAGCTCCACCACCACATCCTTCCCCACCAGCGACTTGAAAAACGAGTAGAAAAGCTAAAAAAAACAAAACAAAAAACACACGACATGACAACGTTAATGTTAGCATCGGGCTAAATGTCGAGCACGATACCGGTTTGCAGACAGCCAGCAAACTAAACCGCATGAGGATGTATACTGAGCTGTGAGTACTTGAACGCCTCACTGACTCTTCAAATAAGTCATTTAATGTTAACTGAAAACAAATTCAGATCTTGAAAATTGAGTTCTTACCATTATTGCTGCTGGTTTCTTACGGTCGTGCGTCTAATATTGATGACGTGTTATTGCTGCGACGGATCGTGGTGCAACTACTGACCAATACCACACCAGGGCGCCAGAGGTGCGCTCAGTGTTAACGAGTGTGAAAACACATTGAACTGTGGACCCTGAGAGAGGTTCATTATGGTTTGTTACGCGAACGATGGGACCATAAAGCGTTATAGCATCGCCGTGAAGTAAAAAACATGGATCATAGTGTCTCAGTGAATCAGTGGAATAATCTTAAGTGTTTATCAGGTCTGCTCGTACTACACATGTAGACACTTGCTGGGCTTTTCAGCAAGTTTCTTGATGGGTCCTGAGACACAGGATCTAAAACAGGATCTATAACTCAGACCACAAAGTAACTCAGTGTGTTGTATAGGTCTTAAGAGGTGGAATGTTCCAGTAATTCTCGAGACAAACAGTAATGCTGTAAAAAATGTCTGTAAAAAGAAAAAAATGACATTTTTATGTAGCAAATGCAAATGTCCTCTTTTCGTTTCACAATCCCTGAAATGTATATTTTTACTGACCCCTTGGAGGGTCCCAACTCCCAAATTGGGAACCACTAAACTAAATGATTCAACTGTGCCCAGCATAACCCCCTTAGTTGTTTGGAGGTGTAATGATTGGACTAAGAATGCAAAATATATCTAATAGTCATAGTAATTTGATTCAACTTAAAGGAAAAAAAGTGAAAATTCAAGAAATAGCATGTAGGAAATTCTCTTTTGGAGGTCTTCTTGCTCAGGCACATGAACAACCGTTATGTAATCTGTGAATGCTCACATTTACACACCTCTGATTGAACAACATGAGATGAAAACAAATGTAGGCGTTGATGGCCAGATATATTTTGAATACCATCAAGTAGGATGTCCTCTATGCTTTAAATATTTGAACTAGTTTGGATTCTCACTCTGCATGCAGTTCTTTTAGGCAACAGCAGATGGAAGCAAATAATGTGTGTGTTGCAGAACTAACAGGTCTCTGCTGCAGACTTTGTTGTGACGAGATTGTGATAATGATCTAAAATTACAAAATCAAGCTGCTGTTTTTTATTCATCCGAGCATTTATTGTACATCTTCATGGCAAACATGTTAATGTCTGTGGAGGATAATACTGTGCGGTACACATTCGTTAGCTGCTGTATAGTGTAAAACTCCACATGATATGTAAAAGTTATTTAATTGGGTTTAATTCCAAACCTACTTGTTAATGCGAGTTTAGCAGAAAGGAAGTCTGAAAATGTTTCGCTAATGTTTATATCACTTTAAAGGAAAAGTTTCACACTTTGGAAAACACACCGTTTTGCGTTCTTGCCAAGAATTGGATGAGAAGATCAATGTCAGGCTCAGGTTAGTACACAGAATATGAAACAATAGCCAGTAGACAGCTAGCTTAGCTTAAGACTCAAGACTAAAAACAGAGGGAAACTGCTAACCCTGCTCTGGTAAACAGCGTCAAACATGCCCGTTGCACACAGAGCCATGCTCCCCTGTTTCCGGACTGTATGCTAAGCTACGCTAACCAGCTGTGGTGTCACATTTCACACAGATGTGAAAGTGGTATCGCTCTTCTTGTTGAACTCTCAGCAAGCAAGTGAATTGGCACTTTCCCCAAAATGTAGAGCTATTTCTTTATTAGTCACTCATAGGTGATACATATAGCGGGTGGAGTGACTGGATGAAGCCTTTACTTTTAATTTAATGTTTTCAACAACCCAGAGCAGGTAGCTGCACAGTCGCTGCAGCCTGGTCTCACTTCACAGAACGCCCCATCTTTGGCACTTCAGGATGCACTGCAGAAAAACAAAGAGCACAATCATATGTATTATATTAAATTTAAAAACGAATTGCCATAGGTGAAAAAGAGCGTTCCCTACTGTCTTTGGGGGGCTGTGGCTGGCCAGGTCTTGCTGGCGGTCTGTGTTTGCTGGGGAGTTCGGAGCTCTCTCTGTAGTCTCTTTGGTTCTGGGGCTCCGGCATGCCCGGCCGGGACTTGGAAGGCAAAGGAGGCCGGCTGAGCGCCATCCCTCCTTCCGAACGCGACGGCACCACTGGTTTCTTGGGCGCTAAAGCACGCGAGGTGATGGAGGTCGGAGGTTTGGCCTCAGAGCAGGTGAAGGAGCGGTTGCGCGGGGTGAGCAGCGGGGGGCGATCAGGGTCTCCGTCTGCCAGTTTGGAGGTTGAAAAGTAGGGATCTGGAGGCGCGAGGTGGTCCTTCTGCTGGTGGTCTTGGTCCTTGCACCGTGATTTTCCCATCGCACCGTATAATGGATTGTCGAACATCTCTGACACCTTTTCATCCTCACCCCTAGGAAAAGTCAGTTTCACTGTCAGCTGAATCATATCAGCTATTTTTGATTGAACACAGAGTTTCTGTACCAGAAAAAGGCTCTTACGTGGGCTTTCCTGTGGGACTGCGTGCACCGCTCACGTCATAACCGCCCTTCTTGGCATCTTTGCTCCCTTGTCCGGCGATTGATAGGTGTTTTGGTGGCATGCTGTAACTCCAACCTTTATCTACCACATTCCCACTTCTATGGGCCATTGCAATGTAATTGGGGTTGGAAATATCATGTGTTTGGGTGACGGAAAACCTGTCAACAAGAAGACAGAAAAATATCTCATGGATGTCATGTTTGAGATATTTTGAGAGGTAACCACCAAGCGGGGAAAAAAAGCCTTACTTGTTTGTGTCGCCGCCTTTGCCTTTTGAGGAGACAGTGTCATCCTTTTCAATTTTAATGAAATCTGAAAGCAGAGGGAAACATTGATGCTACAAGAACTGTAGTAGAAAGCATTTAATAGGTAAGTCCTGAGCTGTTTTCAAGGCTCACCGTATAACTTCTCGGTGGGAGTGCCCTCCGAGGTGCGTAACTGGATGCCGCCTGTCAAAGTGCCCGTCTTTTCTCCGTGGTGAGTCAGTGTGACCTGAAACTCAGTGTAGTTGAACTGGGCAGCTCGCAGCGCAACACAACCCCCCCCTTTGGAGATAAGACACCAGCCGACTGTTAATACCGCTCAGCTCAACGCATCTGCATTGCATCACCGTGTTTGAGTTCATTACCGTATGACTCGTCGCAGTCTGTCGACTTCACACAGATGAGGATGTGCTGGTCCAGCAAGTACTCTGGGTCAGAGATGATGGGGGTGAGCTGAGAGGACAAGAGAGACAACACACCATCGTGACCTACCGGAACAAGTCATCTTCCACACTGAAAGCTCCCTCCCTCCTTTTACCTCGACTTGGTTGCCAAACCAAACTTTTATGGACCCGTTCGAGTGCTCCGTGTTTTCTCCCTCTAACGTCTTGACAGTTTCTGTAGGCATTTTGGAGAGACATTCATTTTGATCATCTCAGCCCATTTTAAAACCAGAATCTAATGAGACGCGGAGAGTCATATGAGACGAAACATACTCTCCAAGCAGCTGGAATGGTATTCGATGAAGAACTTGGTCTTTGATTTTGTCAACAAGGTGGCCACACAATTCATGATCTGTATTCCGCCTTGAGGTGCACTGTTTGGGTCTGAAAAAGGACAAAAAAAAGACCTGTTGTTTTGGAGTAGATAACATAGAGTCATCTGCATAGGGTCAGAGATGGAGATCATACCTTGCTTGGAGACAAACTGTGAGGCTACTCCGACTTCAAATGAGGCAAATAACGGTGAGTGGTCACTTGTCATGATGTCATTGGTGCACCCTGTGAGTTGGAAAGTCTCATTAAATATCATTAAAGCGGCACTCCAGCAATTTTGCCTAACAAAATCACTTAGGTCTAAAGAGACATACTAAACAAGACATGCAGCGGACTCTGATATAAATTGACTTGCAGTCTCTAGTGTGGCTTGTCTTTTGTCAGACCCTCCCTGCCTGTTAAAGGCCCACACCTATCAAACTCCACATCCCTTTAGAAAGTTCTCTTTAGAGCTGCACAACATCATACAAATGTTTTCACATGTTTTCTCATGACAAGTAAACTGATCCTCATGTGTAAAATCGGTCGAGTGACCCCTAAAAAACATACACATGGTAACACTTCACAGGTCTATATTTTCCAAATAATTTTGACATAATTTCCTTGTAAGTTTCCTTAAAAAACAGCCATATTCAAACCTGAGTAAATATAAATGTCTTATTATTAATAAATAAAGATCATATTTGTTGAATTGTATGCATCTGTAGACAAATGTTTATCTGTAGACAGATGTCATATTTTTTTCATTGCCTTTTTCAAATACTGGATGTACCAATATTGATTATTGAGCGTTTTAAGAATTGGGACCAAGATGTGTGAGGTGTTCTAATGCTTTCACTATGTACATATGTACGACCAATATGTCTTCCAGAGCCCCAATATATCTGCAATAAGCTATCGGCCTGGAGAATGTTCACCTGCTGCGCACTAACTAAAAGATAGTTATTTGGAATCATTTTCTTCTATTTTCCAAATGACACAGTTCTAGAACCCTTGCGCGAGGAAATCATAGGAAATTATTCATAGATTATAGACCCCGTAAAATAAAGCACTACAAAAAAAATGCTCATTTTGACCTCACCATATGCTTGGCAGACAACATGAACCAGAGGGTATGACTTCCGCAGGACACGATCGCACCATGAGGGCAAATTGTATTTTGTCTGTAGAATTAAAGTTATCACACATTTATAAATAGTGAATATGACAGTTTCAGGTATCAGGCTTTAAAGCAGCAGTTTAAGCATTAAAAAGCAGCTGGGAGGTTGAAACATGATCAAACATTATTTCCGGCATGAATCAATTCAGGACATCAAAATTCCCAAGGTTCCATAAGTCTAAAAGGGACAGTTGTTAAATGGATCCTGGAGCCTGTAGATGAGTTGTATCATACATTTTCTATGAGCTACAACATATGTTCACATGGACTTTTTGATCTAGATGACTTAAAGCGAAAAGCATGTTCTGTGTCAGCTTAGAGTTGTGTTCAATGCCGTAGTTGCCTTTAATGTGTTTCTGCACTATGGAGCATGACAGGAGCCATACAGGGAAAAGACATCCGACTAAACATAAGCTTACCCCCGTGGCTTTGGCCTTTGTGTAGGCATACTTATCTCGCGTATCTCTTTCAAAGCGATACGTGGGCGCAAACGTGATTTCCTCTTCGTCTGCAATCCAAATAAAATCATTGTTAAAAACACGTGCTTGTATTTTAAATGTCTTCTGACAACGAATGAATAGAGAGTTGATCCCATACAACATAAGCTAAGTTACAGACACTTCACTGCATGTCTATATTGATCAATATTCTCCATGTGTCCAAGGCTCACCGAAATGTAAGAAGACCTTTCCGTCATTCCTCTCCATATTAAGCTGGTCTTTACTGAGGAGTTCCTGGTACTGCTGCTGTTTGATCTTTGTCACAATGTACTCAGCTTCCTGTGAAGGGAAACAGTGCAAAGTAATGACTTATCCTGCCTTGAAGTGTTAGCAGCTGAGAGCTCAGACACCTGACAACCAGCATGCTCATTTATGCAACATTCACTGAAGTAAAGCACTGCTGGATCATGACAAAACATGAAATGTGCTACATAAAAAGATGAAACAGGTCACATATTTGTGAATCTGCATGTTGTTAATAGGAGGATTTCCAACAATAGAAACTCAATTAATTTGGTTCCAAGACAAGTACATAGAGTATGCTGTCATATTACATAATTTTTGTGTCACTTCCGTGCAGCAAACTGCATTGAACAACGACTTACTGTAGATGGGAATTCAATGCGGTAGTTCAAATCACCAAGCCAGAAGAGGTGGGTGAACCGATGTGTGATGTCAAATGGATTGAGCTTCTTGTCTCCCAGATTCAGGAATCTCAGGATGTTGGTGTAGTTTTGATTGCGTCTGCAAATAAAGCCAATGTTATTGCAAGGACATCAAAAGTATGACACAATGAAGTCAGAGGTTCTTTAACAACAACAAAAATCAGATTCATAAATAGAAATAAAAATTACAAATAAAAACAAATGAACACTATTTCCTGCATTTATATACATTCGTATTAATCAAGCAAAAATAGGCATTATGAAGAAATTGTTTGTGATTTACATAATAATGATAGTCAAACATAAATGCGAAATTATATTTAGAGTACTGTATTATGAATGTACTTACACTATATTAAATCCTATTTACTTGGTTGATAATGTTGTATTTTAATATTTACAAGAAAGAACACAGACTGCCTTATCTTGTCTTATCTACTGATCTTTATCTTTTTTAGTTTTTGAAGACTATTAACATTGTAAATTGAAATAAAGATTAAATGATTCCCCAATAAAACATGCAGTGGAAGCAGGGGTATGGTGCCACAAAGCAAAATCTAGTAAAATGTTATCACACAAGAATAAAAATATAATGACCTTGTGAAAGATAAAAAAGAATTGTAGACGGTAATTAAAGGAAAATATAGAGCTATTTTCTTTTTAAAATCCATTTCAACTATTTAATTAAAAATAGTTGAATATGTTTGGCACTTGAGAGGCAAAAACCTTGTGCAAAGAAGTCCAAAAAGAACCTGCAGCTGCTACTAAAGCTTATTGTATACGATGTGTAAATGATGGGGACCCAGGTATCGTATTTTTTATCAGCTCCTCTCTTCTCTCGTCTAGAATGTGGCAGCTCGACAGTCAGCGGATAATGTTTAGAGATTTTAGAGAGTTAATCAAACTGAAACTGTAAAAGTTAAAACCTACTTGAAATTTCAACCTTGGTTTTATCCATATACAAAGTCACTAATTAATTTAAACTGTCTGACTTTGTTAAAAGTGTAATCTGTTGCTCACCTGAGCTTCTTCTCACTTCCAGAGGTCAGGTGACTGTTGACAAAGCCAAAGGACGTACCGTTGAACATGAAGGACACTCCCACTGCTCCCTTGTTTCCTACAAAACAAACATCACAGTGAGTGCTGATGGGTAATTGCTCAATGAACTTTCATGACACGTCACCGAATGGCTTGCAGAGAAGTGAAACAGCTTACCCAGAGTGTTGGCGATCCCCGTCTTCACACTGTCCGAAAACACGTGGGAGATCCTGTTTTCGTGCTCAGGCTTTGCCAGGACCACGATCCGGATGTTCCACAGGGTGTGGATCGCCACCTGGGTGTCAGAAGATGATGTGATGAATCAGTGCTCCGCACCTGCACTCAGTTGGAGCTTTGCTACTTTGCCCCGGTCACTCACTTGTTTAAAGCTGATGTTTGTGATTTTCCTCAGGACACCTTTCACTGTGTCTGCCCACTCCCTCTCACCCAAAGGGTCCTCCTGAGTCCCAATGACATAAAAATCATGCGGGATGTGATCCGCCGAATCGTCTTGAGTCTTTCCTTGGCCTTTACACTGAAACCAGGTGTCGATGCTGTGGGGAGGACCAGCATTTCCTGGGGGTTTGTGAAGAAATATTTTACTTTGCGGTTACATTGTAAGACATGAATTTAAAATTCAGTTAAGATGTTAAATTTGGTACCCATATTCCAAGTGCCAACAAACACTGTGATCATGTCTGGTTCAGGCTTTTCAGAGTGTTTGTTCTTCATTTGTTGAAGAAGTTGGCAAAAGCCCTCTCTTTTCTGGTGGGACACATTTAAAAGAGATGATTTCTGTTAACGAACGCATTTAAACATCATTCCTCATGAATTTCAGGTGACTGAAAACTTAAAGCCCCTGAAATAGTATTTTCTCTATCAGCCTCTTTCTATCAGCAACAGGCTCCGACATGAACACACTATTTTCTGTTCGAACAGTTTTGCTTATTTCACATAAGACTACTGTTTTAGTGCTAAATCTGATTTTTGCTACACTTGTGCTGACGGGTGTGGATTTGATGCTCATGAAACCCATGCTAATGTCGCCATCCCAGTGTCACTTCAATTTGATCAATCAATGCTTAATGTTATAGCTAAATACTTTATTTAAAAACACGTTTCCAGGGGCCTCAAGGTAAATCAGGACCAAGCCAAATTATGATGTTTTTTCACCTTGGTGTCATCAAACGTAAACTCTTTTCGCAAAATCTTCTCTTTCTCTGACTCCGCCACGATGACAAGTTTGGTGTGCATTCGCTGGGATTTCACCAACTGCAGGACTGAAAAATGACCACAGTACTCTGATTAAAATGAGCCGCATTGATGGTTTACAGCAGTTGTTGAACTACATGCTAAAAGAAAAGTCAGGGGATCCCCAAAGTCAGAAGGATTATCCTCTGGGGACCCTGATTGACCATGAACCAAATTCCATGATCATCCATCCAATAATTATTTCAGTCTGGATCGAAGCGTTGGACAGACTAACCATCGCTAGAGCCACATTGCTTGCATGGTTAGAGAGCGGTGTGATTTCTTACTTTTGTTGTGCACAAAGAATTTGTCTTCAGGTCCATCTTTCGACTTCTTGAGAAAGAGCTTCCCACTTTCAACATCCACCTTCAGGAACATCTTCGTGGGAATAGCCAGAGATTCTTGCTTGACCTGCAAGTGAAACCAGGAACGGGTCAAATAAACCACAAACCTCCAGACATTTTACATAATGTAGTTTTACTGCGGTGTTATATATTAACTCATTTTGAGAAGCACCTCAAACGTGACGAGAGGTATGACAGAATTCCTGTGACCTCCTTCATAGCCAACAGACTCAAACAAAGACATTTTAGCCTGAAAAAAAAGAAATAGAGAAGTGAGGGACCAAAGACAACCAAGATTGTTTACAGTCAGTCAGTAAAATGAGCCATGTTACCTTGTCTTCTATAGAGTAGAGCAGTTTTGTCAGTCGCTCAAGTTTAAAGGATACAGATTGACCTGAATCGCTAGAATTCTGAAATTCAAGCAAAAAATACATTATGATAAGGTTTTTTTTTTGTGTTAGTTGATAATGCTGCAAAGGAACAAAGGAGCCACCCACTTGTTTTGGAAACTGTCCAAATCCTGGGGAGAGCTGCTGGTCCAACGCTCGATGGAAGACCTCCAGAACTGGCAGGATGCGGGAGATTTCGCTGTCTCACAAAAAAAGGGCAGAGCATGGTTAAATCGGCCCTTTACATTGCAATCTATAAAACATATTCTTTTTAATGTATACCTGTTTAGATTCTTGCAGATCGCCATTGTTAGCTTCTTTAGCCCGGGGAGGTTAGGGTAACCATACTGTACTTGTTCAGCATCCAAGCTGATTGAGGTCCTGAAGTAATCTTGTAGAGCCATTTGATGCTCCTCTGGTATTCTGCAAACATGGGAACACTTTTAACGCCACCATCTCATTATGCAGTACTGCAGGGATGAATCTTAAAACATGGAAATTTAAATTCTTGCGGTTCCAATTCCCTCGTCTAGGAGTCAATGTTTTTTTTGTAATTAGTCTTTGGTTCGAGTACGATGCTAACTTCTAGGGTTGAGCCTACAAAAATACGTCATCCCTGCAGCACTCTATTCACATACCAGTTCAGTCACATCACAGTGTCAAATCACTGCCCAGAATCGTAGAACTCAACGCGTTGTACACACTGTACACTGCCGACATATTAACAGAAACTTTGCAAAGTGAATTCTCTGGCTGAGGCGCATAAGTGCAAATTCTGCAAATATGACCATACATGGACAAGTCCATATGCTGCAGTCTCATCAGGTAGGTGTCTGATAAGGAATTGCAGGCCTGCTCAGAAGACTTGGGGTCACTGTCTTTCACATCATTGGCCAAGAAGTTCCTGGGTGGGAGCTGCGGTGGAAGATTATTGGATTCTGCAGGACAGAGAGGTACAGTATGGGGCTGTTTAAGAATTTAAAATCTTCCACAGGCTCATTGCATTACTGCCACTGTTCAGATTAAGTGAAGTTGTTTGACCTGGCTCTTCGTCCATCTCCTCCTCCCTCTGGACAGGGTACTGCAGATGTGTGATCAGACCCATGTTGGGACTGTAATACGCCTCCACCAGCTCAGGCAGCATAGAGAAGAACCTGATAGGCACTCCTTCAGATGCCTGAAGAGCAGATCACAGCAGACATGTAATTATCCTCTAACCTCAGCAGAACTGAAATGTCATGTGGTGCTATTGTTTTTCTGGAAGACTTTGGTATCTTTTTTTTTTTTTTTTTGATAAACCAGTGACATAATCTTTCGGTTCTACTTCCCATGTGATGTCAGATATGTCTACTTGCACATCTGTGGTTTCCTCCAGCAACCTAGAGCCTTCATGTCATCAGCTAAGTTCCCTCAGCAGCTGTATAGTGCTTTTTCAAAAGATGTAACTGGTTTTTCACATTGTAGTCCCTTTATTTAGTTTATTCTCATTATCTTATTTATAACTGGTTAGAATGCTGGTACTCCATACTAACAGCGTTATTTTTGTTTGATTTTGTGTAAGTGTCTTCTATGCTGTCATGTTTATAGGTTGTGTGTTGTCCCAAGGAAGAGTAACTGATATTCTGCATCAAAAAACATAGCTCCTTTTTAATGGTAAATGTGCATGTTCCCATATGATTCCACTTTCTCTAGCTTTAGTTCTATGCTGATAATACTCAAGTACATTTGCCTAAATTAACTCACAAGCACCAAGTACTTTCACTTCCTACAGGTGAATGTAATAATAATCATTCTTGTTCTATTACAACTAAAGTTCTATGACAATGGTAACAGACAGATATCAAGCTAATACAATACTAGCAAAAGTAGTTTTCACTAGTTTCTGTGACAGCCGAAAGTCTTCATGCATCTAGAGTCACTCTTCACGAGTCACTAACCACTTTTAAAGTAGACATTTTAAAGCGTGACAGACTTGCTATTGTATCCTCTTACAGGACGTTTTGGACATTAACTATTAACTGATGCTGAGAAAGTATACTGTTTACCAGTTTAATTTAGTGTATTAGCATGCTAACGTTTCACTAAACAAAAAGTAGGCCTAAAGCTGAGGCTGATGAATGTTATTAGTTTTTGGTAATAAACCAGTGCCAGTATCAGACTTTCACTGACAGACCAGATTGAGTCGTGTTTTAGCCTTGACATCAAGTCTGGGTATAGGCAGTGATTAGAAGTAATTTACATGCAAAGTTGCTTGCTATGTGTGGAACAAAGTTGAACGGTTGCTGGATGAAATGTCAGGGAATCAGCAAAAAGATTGCAATTGACCCTTCTCTAAGGCCCGCCCCCCGCTGCTACTCCATCAAGCTGTCAGAGCTACCATGGAGCCCACACTGTCACTAACTGCGGAAATATTTGCTTATTTTGTGAAAAATAAAAAGCGACTTTAGAGAGAAGCAGACTATTGTTGTTGAAGTCTGGACCAAAGTTAAGGACGGACTGACTGCCAATGGCGTTCTTACAAACATATGTCTAAATATAGCCTACAGCACATTTTAAGTGCAGATTTCAAAATAGCTGCACACCAGCATTTAATTCTGATATTAGAGGCCCGTTATGTTCATGATGTTAATACCAACAAGTCTACAACCATAATAATAAATCTGTCTTTGGACCAAAATAATGCTGGCTTGTGTCAAACTGTCAACCCACCTGGACAGAGAGCTTCTTATCCTCATTTGGCAGGATTCTGTATGTGTACACACAGTTCTGGTATCTGTGGTCAAAATAATGCAAATAGGTAAAGAAACATGCTGGCTGGTGTTGTCAATGTGTTCCGCATGCAAACAGTTCAGGTGACACTTTAAATGGAGGTTCCCTCTTGAAAAATGATATGAGTTGGGTGTTGCTTTGTAGCACAGTATCCAAATAAAGAGGAACTAGTCTCGCATTGCAGTGCAATGGGTTATTAGACATTTAACTTTTTCTCATGTGGTATCAAAAAAGTCCAAATGATGTTATTTTTTTTCCTGTTGTCAAAAACATTCCATATAACAGCCATGTCATGTTTTTCTTCCATTAGTTAGGATCATACACAACTCATGTTACATATCATGAATGTTTTTTGAACAAGGAACAAGAATCATTGTCCACTTTTTGTCAGCGCAATAGTTAGACAAGTAATGGCAACTTACAGAACACAGAGGGCATATGCTCCCTGTATGGACTCACTGGCCCGGATAAGGAAGCTTCCATCTCTTGCTGCTTTGGAAAGTAGATCCTCAGCATTGGATCGAGTTATAGTACCATGGCACCAAGGCTGATAACTCGGCATCCTGTTCCTCACCCAAGAGCCAGAGCTCAAGAGTTTTGCATCTGCTCTCAAACTATATTCCAGCAAACCAAAGTAGACTCAGTTATTCTCTCTGGCTATTGTCAACTTTTCATGGTGCGTACTTTGAAGTCCTTTCTTTCACTTGTTCATCCCCTGCCTCCGAAAGCTGCAAAAGGAAGCAGCTACTAGCTCGCCTCTGAACTTCCTCATTTGAGAAGTTAAGAGAGGAGGGCCCTGGTGCCTCCGCTCTGCCTGTTACATGACAGATCTGCAGAGCTGTAAATGGAAATACAGACTTTCGCTTGCTGAGTAGAAATCTCTATCACTCTACTTTAATGATTAACCATTCCCTCCCTATGCACCTGCTTGTCAATGTGAACTGCGCAGAAAGAAAGTGAAGCCATTTGTTAAGTTGAAAGAAGTGAAAAGGGGAAGTAACAAAAATAGTCAACGAATCTTCTGATAAATGTGCTTGTAAATACATTTAAAGCCTAATTTGGTTCCCGGATGCATTTTTAAAGCTCAAATCACCTTTGGCCTAGAATAAAACAAGCACTCATATCCACCCCAGGAGACCCCACCTGAGTCTGATTCCTAACCGTTCAATAAGAATCAGGAGAGCTAGGGGTTTTTCTAAAATGTGTACATTCAGGAAATACAACTTTAAAGTGGCTTGCCCTGTTCATGTGATGGACAGGAAGTCTTGCAGAAATAAGAGGAGAAAAATGAGCTGCACGCAAACCACAACACGGGTCACATGATACAAAAAGAGAAGTACACAGTGGCACTGCAGCCTCGGAGGTTTCTGTCCTGCACTCGAAATAGGTTTCACAAAGAGAAGGTCGAAGCCTGAAATATTCGGCGACAGTGTAGACAAGACACATCACATCAGCCACAGAGGTTGTGAAAACAAACGTTTACTCATTTATTAAATACAACTTGGAGCTGCGAAGTACACTTATAACTCACATCTTACTTACTTAGAGTTAGTCATGTCTGTCTGTCACAAACATTTGTTCTGCAGATGGCGTCAAGCCAAACTGACTCATGGTAAAAAAAAAGGGATTAATAGTTTGTCATGCAATAGTGCAATATCATACAAATGTGGACAAAACAATAAATGCATAGCATAGGAGAGTGAATGAAGAATATATGTACAATTAAGATTTGTCTAGCAAAAGGAAAATAAACATGGTACTGTCAAAAATACATTTGTAAGTGGCTTTAAAATACACCTCATATTAAAACAACACAGAGTCTACAGTCATGCTAGCATGCCATGCTTAGGCACAATGGTGCTTTGAGCATCACCATGCTAACATACTCACAACGTCAATGCTAACATGCTGATGTTTGGCAGGTATAATGTCAACCATGTTCACCATCTTAGCACTGGTCGTGTTGGCATGCTGACATTTACTATTTAGTACTAAAAGCAAAGCACAGTCGAGGCTAATGGGAATTGCATTAGCTTAGCAGGCATTGGTCAAACAATCCAATCACATGTCAAGTATACAAAAACAATGTATTATTGCAGTGACAGAATGGGCCTATTCTTTTGAGCAGGTAGCAGTTACCACACCAAGCTAACAAGTATTCATTACATTTGGCATAGGATACAAAAACAGTAACAGGAAATATCTATTAAAAGTTGACTATGTACATATTTTATCATTTGGTGTTTGACACAAAAAGCTTGTGGAAACAGCAGACACAACAACTTCCTTGTCGAGGTCACGATAACTGGAGCCTTGTAGTCTCACAGACTCTGATGACTTTGACAGCAAGGGCTAACGTTGGGAGATTCTCTGGTTGACTTTATGCACATTTTCGTAAGTCGCCAGACTTTTGTCTTATGAAAGTAACTTCCAATTATGTTGATTTGGGCCAAAAGTACCATTTAGATTTTAAACAGGGTGCAAACAAAATGATCTTCAATTGATTATGTTACATTTGGAATATGAGTCTCAAACTTACTGGACATGGGAATGTCCATGTCCAGGTAACGTGAGTTCACAAAGTGTTGTTCTTAGTCCTTAGATGACGTCTGGAGTCCTTACACTCTCCGGCACTCACACAGTTAAAGTCTGTGAGGGTGAATGAGGCGTAGGGTGGATCCTGGAACTGTGCCTTTAATTCAAGTTTACTGGGGCTACAGTGGCACTTCAACCACATTAACAGTCAATTAACAAACCGATTTTCGTTTGTGTTGGAAATGCATCTCTATCAAACAGTGCTCCGGATCGCATTCAAATCTCTCTTCCTCAGAACTCAGACTTGGCGCTCACAGAGCTCTCATGTGTTCCCTTCAACTCTCCGCTGGTGGCTCCCGACACACCCGTCGGATCTTTGCAAAACAATCGCATCAGAGTGCCGCGGAACTTCTCTGCGCCAAACAGGTAGATCAGCGGGTCCATGGCACCGTTCAGGCAGGTGAGGGAGGAGGTGAGGCGGTTGGCCAAGCTCAGGCCTCTGCGTGTCTGGCACGAGATGCCGGGGTGGTTGTAGCCCAGGATGAAAGTGGCCCTGCTCACATGATAAGGCAGGAAGCAGACCACATAGATGAGCATGACCAGGCCGATGGTGCGCAGGGCCCTCAGCTTTAGGGCTGGCTCTAACCTGGAGCCCCGGTGCAGGCTGTGGATGATGAGCAGGTAAAAAGTCAGGGTGGCAAGGAACGGTGGGGTGAAGGCCACAGCGAGGGAGATCAGTGCATTGCGTGAGGCCTTCTCTCTGTACAGCTGCGAGCACACCGTCATGCCGTCCACCTCCGCAGTCTGGCGGGTGATTAGCAGCGGCGCCATGGAGATGGTAACCAGGGCCCACAGCGAGAAGCTGATGATGTGGGCGTAGCGGGCACGCCGGACCTTCAGCGACCTCACAGCGTGCACCACGGCCAGGTAGCGATCGCCTGCCACGCAGGCCAGGAAGTACAGGCTGGCGTACATGTTGACGTAAAACAAGAAGCCCGCCAGCCTGCAGGGCACCTCGCCGAAGGGCCAGTGGCCCCCAGTGAGGTGGTAGGTGGCCCTCAGCGGGAGGATGATCACATAGGACAAGTCTGCCACAGCCAGGTGAATCAAAAAGACGTTAGCCGGGGAGGAAGCGCCACGCTGGTGAGAGAAGATCCAGAGAGCCAGGCTGTTACCGTTCAGCGCCAGGAAGAAAACCAGGACGTAGAAGCATCCAAACAGAGTGTTCTCAACCGTTGTATCCACTGCCGCACAGCTTTCAGATGACTGATTGGATAGAAGGGAGGGCAGCTCCATTGTAGTAGACTCCATTTTGGTGACTGAGGAGACAAGCAAATAGTTTAAAATGTATCCTAAAAGAAATTTCAGGAATAATTACTCTTTGGGATTATTAATAAAGCAACTAATGTATATTTGCAGGATGGATACAACTAAAACAGTCCATTGGAGTCATGACTTTTCTAAACACGTGCTTTTGATTTCTAAAATTGTTCATTGTTGGTATTCAGACAGCAAACTGCCCCAGTGACAGGAAACCCAACCGCTGTCCACTCTACAGCGGTCTACACACACACACACACACACACACACACACACACACACACACACACA